CAATGTTATTGTTCTTGTCTGTGGAAACTGTATTTAGTATTTGTGCCGCTCAAATTAGTCTATAATACAGTGTACTGATTTCTAATCAGTATTCAAGAGAAAAGCGCGTGGAATACGTAATGACTTTTCATGACACCTGTGTTTACTTAACCTTGAGAGAAAAATGCGAGTCGACTTTTTAATGATGAAAATCATTTCCTACCTTTGTCAATACTTCATTTACAAGGTTAGATTTTTAATATATTTTCCATCTAGTTATTTATTCTGCTGTGAAACTCATTTGAGTTGAAAGAATCGCCGAACGTTTATTTGACTACATTAGCATATTGAGAACACATATAAGTGAGCTTGTACATTGTACAATTTGAATTACCAACGAGCTGTCAACGAGTACCTACAGTGAGAAGATTTAACATATTTGAAGAGTTCCAGTTTTGCAAGTGCTACACTACAAACAAAGTCGTCCTGTGTCCAAAATCTCTTCTCCTTAGAGCTACTCATACAGATTGGCATGTCATGGCCTGGACGCCACGCTCTCGTTTGACTTTTCAATGCAACCACAAGCGAATGACTGATTGTAATGGTTTGAAACCGCTTCTACATCTTGGAGCGCATTATTACTTATCAACAACTTTACACACTATTACTCTACACACAGCAGCTGGAACAACATCACACGTCACACTAACACCATTGTCCATTTTCCATGTGCCTTGTAATAGCTCTTTTGATGATCAAGAAATCGGCCTTGGTAAATGCCCCCAACCATGGAATTTTCTCTCCCTATTATTCAGTCGGATCAATTTTCCTACGTCCCTTGGTGGCCTGCCACAAATAACACTACATTTCAGTTACATAACTAGCTCACAGTTCTACCCCAATTGTCATTTGACAATAAAAATTTACACGACCTGGATACCCTTTATTCACAACTCGACGGCCAACTTACTGCACAGCTCTGCGACGTTCACCACAACATGGAAAAGTTAAAACCCGCCACCACTTCGACTCTAAATGATGCCCTCATGTATTTGGCCTTAAACCTAACTTTAATACATTCCGTACTCTTCATTGCCTTTTTTTGTTCTCGTTGATGCTGCTTTTCGCCCACAGCACCACCTGAATCTACACCTATGGACTCTGTCCACACTCCATTGCAACGCCAAGTGCGATGTTCCCACAGTTAGACTGCCTCAAAAGAAACCAACTATTTTCATTTCTTTTTCAACTTTATTACCTTTTGCACCTCTCCTCCACCATGCCCATATATACCAGCTACAATTCCCAGCCATCACTCACTCAACAGTTCATTCGACAGTTCATTCATCAGCTCCTGTGATTAAGCGTTATTTCATCATGGCCGATTTCGTCTTTGTTATTGAGATGGCCGGTTTACAACATGGGAACGGCCAATTTACCATCAAGCGAGTTCCTATCTCTCCCGTCCATGAAGGAACCATGGCCACCTTCACTTGCGACACAAGTTTCCTGCTCCACCATAGTGATAGTGCCATTCGCACTTACCACTATACCACCAGACACATCCATGGCATTGCCTTAGATGAACCTGGCCTGCCCTACAGTCTACGGGGAGAAACCATCAGCATCACTCTAAAAAACCATATTTTTGGGGCCTTGAGAACAATTCCACAGGAGTACGAACAGGAATCGCAGATCCTGCTGGTGACAAAAGGGACCGAAAAAATCCACCTGATCAAAGAACTCGTTCCCGTGGAGGGTTTCTTCAACAATCTCATCGTCCGTGATCTGGGGGACTACGGTTGCCTACCAGCATCCCCGCTTCTTGGGGGATGCCGCGCAGCCACAGAAACAACAGCAGCCCTATTTTCCACCTGGTTTGCCGGACGTTTGAAAACATTTATCGCTCCTCTCATTCCACCCAGACCCAGCACCATCCTCAGAAGAAGATTGGGAATCGTAGAACTGTAACAGTCACTTTATTTTTCATGTGCTCTTAATATAATTTTGCTAAGCTTCGTTGCGTTTCATTTTGCTTCGCACTAGAATTCGTTCGTTATGATTTTTTGAAAACCAGGAGGTTTTCGCTTAAGGAGGGGAGTGTCACAGCCAGTATTTCAATATAAGTTTCATGTTTATTCTTATCTTTAAAACGGAACTCAGCTTTATCAGAATTAACATTTCAAGATTTCTCATTTGGTTTTAACGCAATAACTTTAAAAATCGCAAAAGCTCTGTAGAGATGAGTGTTTATTCAGCCGCATTACATGTTGTTTTATTAAGATTCGTTAGCAGTAAGAAGTATTAACCTTAGATGGAAAAAACGAAGCTGCTCAAACACTTGCCTTTTCGGTTTCCTTTTTGTAGTTACATCAGAGGGTTACAAGGGGAAATAGTGTAAACATTCATCTCTGCAATTTCCTGTTCGCAATTAGCTGAACTAACAAACTCTGAAAAGTCGTTGATTGAATTTAAACATAGCCTCTTATTCACATCTTTGATTTATTATTGTAAGTACTCAAATGTTTTAGATACTTTGGTGAGTATTTTATGTTGTTACTTTACTCCGAAATAAGCAATGTTATTGTTCTTGTCTATTGAAACTGTATTTAGTATTTCTGCCGCTCAAATTAGTCTATAATACAGTGTACTGATTTCTAATCAGTATTCAAGAGAAAAGCGTGTGGAATACGTAATGACTTTTCATGACACCTGTGTTTACTTAACCTTGAGAGAAATGCGAGTCGACTTTTTAACGATGAAAATCATTTCCTACCTTTGTCAATACTTCATTTACAAGGTTAGATTTTTAATATATTTTCCATCTAGTTATTTATTCTGCTGTAAAACTCATTTGAGTTGAAAGAATCGCTGAACGTTTATTTGACTACATTAGCATATCGAGAACACATATAAGCGAGCTTGTACATTGTACAATTTGAATTACCAACGAGCTGTCAACGAGTACCTACAGTGAGAAGATTAAACATATTTGAAGAGTTCCAGTTTTGTCTCACTAATTTCTGCTTCGCTCTACAGCCAAGTTACTAACTATCCTGTACCTCCGCATTGCTTGTGACGTTGGCTATGCAGCTAAACGAAGTGTTCTACCGAGTTTTAGTCCCGTTCCGTCCATCGTTTATCAGTCCAATTATCCAGTGCATCGCCGCGCATTTTCCAAGAGTTTACATGAAAGAACACCCGAAAAACCTAACGTCACAATAGCCAATAACATCACGGCTTAACTGACAGACGACCAATAACATCACAACGTAATTGACCAATCAGACCAATAACCAGAGTATAATACCATCAACTGACGTGATACAAGTCACTTTGACTCGGAAGATGACTACCGCACAGGTTGTCAAAACGTCAGTCACTTTTAACAAAACAGTTCTATTCAGGACTACATTCACCTGGACGATCAAACTCGACCAACTTAAAAAAATAAATAAATTACTTTTATTTTTATGTAGGGATAGTCAATATTTGGGTGGAGGGGCAGGCAGTAGTGCCCTAATTTGGCCAACTGAGAAGTCTTTAAAATTTATAGAATTATTTCACTATTAATTTTTAGCCGCTTGAACAGGGTGTCATTCTGTACCAGAACCCTTAAACAGGGTGTAGTTTGCAGTGCTTGACCTGCATTAAGTGGTACCTAAAATTTCTTTGAAACAATCTAACTCTATGATGCCAAGAATTAATTCTGTATGAAAAATGAAATGAATAAAGGCTGTGGGAACTGCCTACCTAAGGCCCAAGCAATTTTCAGGTTTAGGAAACATTGTTTATAAAACTGGGACTCATGATTTTTCACAAGATGAGTCCCAGGACTCGCATAAGCTATTTGTAACAAAATTATTGATTATTATTTCTGTTTTTTTTTTACTTATTTTCTGACAGAACCACTTGGGCAAAAGTTTATGGCACCAAATAAAGCAGAGGCTATGCCATCATTGTTGACATTCGGCATGGAATTCCAAGTTTTGGAGAAATAAAGGAAGTTCTCATTTTAGAAGGAAGTGAAGTTATGTTACAATATACAGCCTTGAGTGTCCTTGAATAAGTCACTCATTTAAATGCCTACAAGGTTGCACCCATATCTTCAATATCAGTATCTTTCCTCGACACCTGTGTTTACTTAAGTTAGGGCAAAATGCTGAATCGACTTTTTAGCAATATGAATCATCTCTTTTTTATCTAAACAGTTCATTTTCGAAGTTAGATTTCTAATATATTTTCCGTTTAGATATTTATTCTGTTGTAAAACTCATTTGAGTTGAACATATAGAAAGCACATATAAGCAAGCTTGTACATTGTACAATCTGAATTAGTTGAGTTGTCAAGGAGTTAACTACGTGAGAAGATTAAACACATGTGAAGAGTTCCAGTCCTATTGAAGTTATCTCTACTTTGCTCTACGGCCAAGTTACTAACGACCCTGTACCTCTGGCGTTGTTTGTGACACTCAGTGTGAAGAGAGGATTTATTGTTATTCAGTTATTTTGCTTTTGCTGGTAAAAATATGAAAAACCAATGTAGAAATCATTTATTCTTTAGTCTTAACTTCTTTAAGCCGTAAACAACCAGCTGATTTCTTGAGCGTAAACCTTTTTGTCAAGTCATAATTGTATTTAGTCTTCAAACTGTAATTTTCTTTGGTTATGTTTTGACTGTACCCGCAGTATAGTCTTGGACTAAACTTCTACGTTGGACCCAAGTTCTGTTGTGATCATTGTCTCAAGGGTATTCAGCAAGCGTAAGAGATTCCGTGCCTTCCCGCAGCCAGCGAATGTCTCCAAGAAAAGGCCTTTCCCAGAGAGTTTTAGAGTTTTCCCCTGTCCGTCAGTTTACCCTTTTGTGAAGGCAAAAGCTGTTTTCACACTTAATTGGCGATTTTTTCTCACACTTAATTAATTAGCAATTACACAAGTAATACCAGAGGCAAAGAAACTTCACAGAACAGGATGTAACCCCTTAGAGCAAGACAGTACGTCCAAGTAAGTCAATTTACTTAATGCCGAAATTTTTCACTAAAAGAAAAGAACCTTACAACCTAAGGAGCTGGAATAAGAACCAAAGTACTCTGAAGTCGAAAGTAGACGCCTCCGTCGAGTGCGATTTGCCTTTCGACGAATCAAAAATAGCCCCAGAATTGAGGCATGGGCCAGTTACTAAAAAAATAACTAGTTCGGAACTGTTGGAACCTTCTCACAAAAACTCTGTAGGGTTTAACAAGACCAACTTGGAACCCGTGGATATTAGTGTAGATTCTGATAGCGACGACAATCTTAGTGCTTTGGACCAACGGCGCCTCAGAGCTATTGTAGAATCTGAGGAAGAACTTTACTCAGAAAACGAGAGAGAAAAAGAAAAAGAAAAAACAAAAGAGAACTGTACGGATAACATTTTTGCAACAGGTACTGGCGAGTACGTCACCTCCTGTTAGTACATTACCCTCCACGACTGCACCGCTAGATCCTACATTTACAGAACAACCAGAGGTAATAAACACTACACCAATTGTTATCAATTATACTGCTGGTGGACAACAGTTACTGACTATCAATTCACCTGCTGATATTTATAAACATTTCTTACGTAAAAGTTGTGAAGGCAGATTAGGAGTTACTGCCACTAGACATAGTGAACAATTCTCAGACTCTGATCCTACCGACGACTCAAGTTCAACCAGTGTGGATGGAGAATACATTCGTGCGCTAACTGAACTTACTCAAAAGCTCTTAAATAGAGACGTAAACATAAACAAATTCCATGGATATGAAAATGAGGACATAAATCGCTGGTTTGAGAAATTGGAAGTAGTTCTGGACTCTAAAGGAATCAGGTTAGATGTCTCCACTGCAAGAACACAGCTTATTAACAATCTCGCTGGGCCAGCGGAAACTTTTATGTTTGAATTGCCACCAGACGAGGGCGGAAACTATAACGCTTTAAAACAAGCCCTGGTGAAACGTTACTCTACCAAGGACCGCGCATGGGTTAAACAACATCATTCAGCTGCTCGCTGTCAAGGCCCTAATGAATTACTATCAGATTATATCAATGATATGCATGAACTGTTCAGCGGACTTAATATGGCCGAAGTGGACAAAGTGACTTAATTCATGGAAGGATTATTGCAACCCTTAAAGGCCAAAGTCCTAGAGTGAATGCCGGAAACACTCTTATACAAGCTGAAGAAGTGGCTAGAACAGTCGACTCAATATCGCAGCAAGAAACTAGCACCAAAGAAGGCAGCCAAATTGAACGCTTAATTGAAGCAATTACCTGCAGTCAACAGGTACCCGCTCAAGCAACAGGTACTAACGCGTCACTTAATACTACAAAACCACAGTCACTTCAAGCACAAATGGAAAAATTAACACAGAAGCTAAGTGAACTTACACCTACAGTTACTGAGTCAGATAAAGTTGCCGCTTATTCTGAGCCACAAGTGGATTTCCAAAGTAAGATTGAGGAACTCACTAAACTTATGAAACGCATGGAAGGTAACTTTGAGGATCAAATTGCCATTTTGGATAAGAGGATGGACACACGCACAATGTCAGCGAGAGACTTGTAACACTAGGAAACGAACAAGAGATGGCCGTCCTTATTGTTATGTATGTGGTTTGCCTGGCCATTATCAAAACAGTTGTCCGCGATGGAACAACCATGAACGTGAACGACCGCCGGTGCCCAGGTACACGCTGCCTGCACCTGATAACTACACACAATATTCAAGTGGCCCCCAAGCACGACAGCGAGCCTTACCACCGCCGCCGTATCAGAGCCGAATAGCTGCCTTTCAGGACAGTACTCCAACCCCTTCCAAACATCGGAGTTACCTACATATGACTCTCCCAAATATGGCGCTGTTAATTGGGCTTATTATTATGATGATGTCCTTCTGGAAGCCACAATGACCAATTACAAGAACTTTAACGATGATGACTTCGATGGAGACTGGGATTATTATTACGATTATGAACCAGAAACTAAGGCGAGTAATAATGTAGATGAGTTACATGGAGTATATGATGAAACACAGCCAACAAGTGTCTCTACCTTGGTCGAGAATTTACACAATACAGTAACCACTGACCAGCTGTTATTGCCTCCTTTTCCGTTTGAAGATCCCTGTCCTTCTTCGTGGCCACCCAAAACGACTGGTTTGTTACTTGAAGAAACACCGGCTGTGCCTAACCTGATTTATGAGACGGTATGAGAAACTTGCTGCCATTTACTGATAAAGTAGACCAATTAGCAGACAGCTTTAAGATGGGAACTGAATTTGATCTACCCGTCCCGGACACTAATCCGCTGCTGACTGCAACAGCCATACATAGTAAGACTGCTGACACTACAATTTTGCGGCACTATCCTCCAGCTGATCATGAGCCAATGGCAGAACCAGCCACGACCTACCACCAGCAACTGTTGATATCTTGCCATCCCCATATCCAGGTGACGGAGTGGATCCGATTCAGTATTTTGGGCTTAATCATGGCAAACCAGAGTTATCAGGTTACACTAAAGTAGCTGCCAGGGCGCCTCAGCCACCAAAGACACAAGATGTAAATCCGCAGTCAACAGCCATTACTCATACTACTCCGAGCTCGGCTAACCAAGCTCCAGGATAAACCACCCGATCTCCCTATGAAGAGTTTCCCACAGGTAACCTAGTCGCCGTGCATTCTGGAAACCAGACAACCAACCCAATCCCTGCTCAAAGCGTCAAGGTGACGGCTGTGACTAAGGTCAATAACCACATAAACTCCTCTACCACTCAGTATACAGGCAGTAGTATTGTGCCAGCGTTGAGCTATCAAGCGGCTACCAAGGCAGCACAGGGTAACCAGTCAACTCCTCCCAACAATGGTGTTAGAGGTCCTGCTCCTAACAATGGACAGCCTCCTGCACCCTTTATGACGGAAATAGCCACTAATTCTACCAGACTGCGTTCACCGGGAGAACTCACAGTCGACGTATGGATAAATGGTAAGCCCACACGTTGCTTGATAGACACTGGAGCAGCTGTTTCTGTACTTGACACTAAACACCTTGAGTTCCTGTGGTCGACGTGGCGCTCTACCTGCTACTCGAAAAGGGCTATTTCCAACGGCAGATTGCCACCTATGCTCTCCTGACCTTACAAGAGTCATACTTTTCCACAGACTTCCTCTTAGTCATCTACGACCTTTTAACCAACAACCACGAGGACTTTGCTGGTTATTTATACTTACAATATTGTTCCCATGCGCCCAAGATTGTGACCGCAGCGCACAATCTGTATCCGTCTCTCTTTCACGGAGCAGGGTTCTTCTGGGGAGAACCGTGACATTTTATGTAATTTTATACGTTGCAATTATTTTTCATTAATTTACTGTTCCTGACATTTTCCTTGACTTATTTAATCTATGTTCTTAGTTTATTTACGTAATTCGACTTTCACTTTTTCAATTTACATGTCTTTCTTGCTTTTCATTGAAACCCTGAGGCCAGCCGTTATCCACCTGTGTAGCTTTTAAAAGAAATTGTTGTAAAACAAACTTAGGTTTCCACCAATAGTCTTGTAGAAATGATTGTTGTGTTCTGTAATGTACCTCGCTAGTACCTGACCTAATCTGTATTGCATCATCGACTTAGAGTATTTACACCCGTGTTTCGTAAGATTTTCTTCAGTTATGTTTTGACTGTACCCGCAGTATAGTCTTGGATTAAACTTCTACGTTGGACCCAAGTTCTGTTGTGATCATTGTCTCAAGGGTATTCATCAGGTGTAAGAGATTCTGTGCTTCCCGCAGCCAGCGAGTGTCCCCAGGAAAAGGCCTATCCCAGAGAGTTTTAGAGTTTTTCTCCATCTGTCAGTTTACTATTTTGTGAAGGCTAGACCTGTTTTTACAGTTGGCCAGCCCAGCGAAGTGTTCTACTGAGCTTTAGTCTCATTCCGTCTTTCAGTTATCCAAATCATCCCCTGGATTATCTTTCTATTTGTCCAGCGTAACGCCGCGCCTTTTGCGAGAGTTAAAGACGAAGAACACCCTAAAAACCTAACGTCACACAATAATGCATTTCATTGCATTGCATCTTTTTATATTGATGTTAATTCAATTTAGTATCCATTTTCTTACTCATACATGCATAACTAGTAGTTAAGGATTTTTTTTACAAGTTATGATCCCTGAGTATGTTTTACCTCATGCACAAAAGTAACTTTTCATATTATTTGCTATGCAAGGTTTATTTAATTCGGGTCTGAATTCCTCTTTTTGACTAGCTCAGGTTATGTATCTATTTGCAGAAATAAAACAACTTATCAGTACATGCAATCTGAGTGCTTCTTTAACGACTTTCAATAACGAATTCTGCAATTTTGTTGAAAGTTGTTTCATGCATCGTTTACTCACGAGTGAGAAGTGTTAACTCAGTTTTGTTTAATAAACATACTCATTATACTTTTAACTCAAAATAATGAGTGTTTTCCACTCCCTATTTTGTGTTTGAGATTCTCCTCATTTTGCGAGTAATTGTACTCAAAATACCGAGTAAAATGAGACAGTTACTCAAAAGTGGGAGTGAGATTCACTCAATCGAAAAATGGCATTTTTTGCAGTGTACTTACTTTTCCGTATACTGTAAAATTTGCTTTTGGGTGTCACTGAGCCCACAAATATCGGCGTCTCTTCCAGTTTGACCACTTTCCAATTTTCGCTTGCACCATAAGTACATCATTCATCTGAGCAAGGTTCAGCCTTTTAACCAAAACATGTTGATGGTTGTTGATGGTTTTCAGCACCTCGAAGACGAGTTTTTCACCAAAGCACTTGCCTTCAGCTCTGTGTGACATCAAACTTTCAACCTCTGCCGGTTTGATTCAATAGGCCTCCTACTACAATTTCCACGGGCAATTGCCACTTACCAGCACAAGTCCCGCCTTCATGGCTGGGAACTCAACTCTGGTCATTGACCTTTCAATTGTGAACTTTTATTCATGGACTTTTCTTAGTTTTCTGTGCTTTTTTCGCCGAGGATGGCTCAATTTACGGTGGGAGAAATGTTAGGGAGAATATAGCTATTTTTGCTGATTTGTAATATGTTTGTCCAGATTAAGTGCAAGGCATTTTCAACTAAGTTTCTAGTGTTAAACAATAAAAATGGAAGCGATGGAAAATGTTCACAGTGCGCACGTTTTTGACTTGACATTATTAAAGGAATTTTATTCAGTGTTTGGGATTTATTGCAAAATTCATTTGTTTCGGGAAATATTTATAGGTTAAGGAAAAATATCATAAAAAGCAATTTGGCTCATTTTACTTGGTGTTAACTCCTACGCATCAGCACTGATCAAACGACATCCTCTCCCGATATGAGAAAATGATTTCTGTTGATTCATTCTCCTTGGTCTTGTTGAAGGGAAATGTTGATTGAAGAGTTACGTTAGCCACTTGTGGCAATTGTTACAATATATGTTTATAGTGGAGTTGTTGTAAGCGTTCTTGTTGATTGGTTTGAGTAAGCTACTTCTTTATTAGTAGTATTGGTTTTTCTAAGTTAATTGATGATGGATAGAAAGTTTCTCCTGACATGAATTCGGTACACGGTAACACTTCTGTTCACGAGATATGTTTAATTAGAGCCTTTGGCAGATAACAAAGCCTTGTTTATATTAAGTATTTCGTCTAGGTTAACATTTTTGACCTTAGTCTGGTCTTCCTTCGATATTTACCAGGAAATGACTACCCTCCTTGTTTTTAAGAGTTTTAAGCATGTTTCTTTGAGTTTTTAACCGAATTCTTGGCAGTGGATAACTTTAATTAGGTTTAGTGATTTTATAGGTGTTTTTGTAGTTAAAAAACTATTGTTTTAAATTCTGCCTTGCACTTTGAAGTGCATTTTTAATTTACCCTTTTAGTTTGCGATCACATTCCTGGTTAAATTATGGAAAAGTTGAAGCCAATCATCTTCGATGAAGAAGCTTAACACCTTCTGAAAATTGACAACAACCTTAGAATTTCAAACTGTAATTTTAGATGAAAGGACAGACAATCATACTTTTCAGACAAATGACCATATATGGAACATCAAAAATATAACAAAAGGATCAAAATATAACCGGTCAACTGAATTCGAATCGTCTGAAAACTTCGGTTTAGAGTCATTTTGACAAAGCAATTATCTCGAAGGTATCATGCTAATGAAACTGTTTTAACCAATCGGATTAGACTTACGTCAGCATTCGCGTTGCGCTAAGCAGCTGGTTTCCTGGCTGATATAAAAATGTGTGTAACACTGATCAAGTAGAGAATTGTAAAATACAAGTTGCACTAACTTCGCGACACCTTATGGAAGAATTAAAGAGAGTCGATTGAACAAGAACTCGACTGTTTGTTGCTAAAACCTGCTAGTACCCCCAGTAAGGTTCTTCAACAAAGTGGTGGAGAAATCCGCTTTGTTCCCGTACCATTTTATGTCTGGTCGTGGTCATGGTACTCCGCAAAGGCCCAACGGACCTCTTCGTCAACCTAACAGCCTGCCATTAGTCCTGATTATCCACAGGCTTAAAGAACATCTGTACAAAGCAGGAGTGCCGTGGGTACCACAAGTAAGCCCACCGTTTTAACTCCCAGCAGAGAAGAACCAGCGCATTTTAGCCGCACCTTGTTAGGGCGTTGACCCGCAGAAGATCTTGCACTTTCTAAACCTCCTTACAGACCCTTCAAGTAGAAGCAGGCGCTTGTGCGTCGAAGAAACACACAAAAAGGAAAGGACGACCGAACAAAGGAATACTGAAAGACTCAAGCCAGGAAATTGTAAGCGAACATTATGATTCAATTATTCCAGTATCTCTGATGTATCGTTAGTTTCTCGTATTATTAGCTTTTGTTTAACACAAAACCAAAAAAAAACTATATATATACATCGCTACTTAATCTAGTAATGCCTCAGCGAAGTACGATAGAAATAGTTTACGTGTATGCCTGAAACTGCCCCTTCAGGTCACATCGTTACACAGCTGTTGCATTTTCACACGTAGAACCTACTATTCATGGAAGCGTGTTTAACCCTGATCAAGTTTGGCATGACTTTCTATTTCTTCAACCATCTCCCCATGTAGGTAATCACGTAGTTTCGGAAAATACTATTTCAGAGCGCTCAGAACTTTCCGAACCTGCTGCGTTTTCGCAAGTAGACACTTCAGCTGTGGCAAATCACTCTGGTTTACAAGGCTTTGACCAGTCTGTCGATTTGGTTGCACCTATTATTGATTCCGTTCAGGAAATATTGGACACTGACGCGTCCAACCCTCAGGACTGGTACACTCCTCCTCAAACGCCCCCATTTATTAGCTCGCATGTGAATGCCTTTGATTCACAGGTACACCCTCCATCAGATAGTCTTTACGTCTATGGCTCTATTGCTGACCGATCCACGCTAATGTTGGTTGATACCAGTGCCTCAGTCACTGCGGTAAGTAGTAATTTCGTCTCTACATTCACGGTGTCTCCTAAACTTCAGCCGTCACCTATTTCGTCGATACAAACGGTTAGTGGTGAACACCTCCCAGTTTTGGGTCAGGTCAATCTTCCTTTAACTATAGGTGCCAATGCATATCCTTTTGAGACTCTTGTTATTGACAACCTCACCTATGCCGTCGTGCTTGGTAGAAATTTTCTTATGCACTTTGGTTCTGTCATAGATTTGCAAGATAATACCTTGACACTTACTGGCACCAATTCGGTACCCTTACATTCATCATCTCCACCCTTACCTGACCAACAAAGGGAACAAGAACCAGTTACTGTGCATGCCCTTGCTACTTACATCCTGCCCCCAATGTCTGAGTCTGTTATTCTAGTTTATCCAAAAAGCTCCTTACCAGTGGGAAAGACGGGTTTAATAGAGCCCAGTGCCAAACTCATTGACCGCTATCATGTCTGTGGCTCCTCCCAACTTGTAAGTCTTTCAGAGCAGCATACCTTTCCATTTCGGATTCTCAACCCAACTCAAAAGCCTGTGACAATTTACCGCTGTACAACAGTGGGGACCTTTACCCCTTCAGCTGCATCAATGTCTGTTATTGCCACTTCCGACACCCCTGCACAGTCCCCTCCACCTGTTGGGGATGAGGCAACCGTTCCCTTAGACTTCACATCGACTAACCTGGATGAACACCAACTTTCTGAGTTAAAATCTTTGATAGCTGAATATCGCGATATTTTTGCTTTAAAGCCAGAAGAACTTGGGCGCACAGGTTTAGTGAAGCATCGTATTGACACTGGTGACAACCCACCTATTAGACAACGACCTTATCGTGTCTCTGAATCTCAGCGTGGTATTATCGAGGAACATGTCACTGATATGTTGAATAAGGGAATAATTCAACCTAGTACAAGCCCGTGGACGTCTCCCATTATTCTAGTCAAAAAGAAGGACGGGACTGATAGATTTGTCGTTGATTTTCGAAGGTTGAATTCAGTCACACTTAAAGATTCTTATCCCCTTCCTCGAATAGACGATACCTTAGATGCACTCAATGGTACTACATTTTTCAGTTCTATGGATTTAATGAGTGGGTTTTGTCAGGTTGAAATGGAATCTGAGTCACGTGAACACACCGCTTTCGTTACTTATGGTGGTCTTTACGAGTTTTTAGTGCTCCCATTCGGATTAACTGGGGCCCCGTCAACGTACCAATGATTAATGGAGTGTGTTTTACGAAATTTAACATATAAGATCTGTTTAATTTACTTAGATGACATTCTCGTCTATTCCAAAACCTTTGAGGACCATTTGAGTCATCTCAGACAAGTTTTCGATCGGCTACGTCACGCAAACCTGAAACTAAAACCTTGTTAAGTGCAAGTGTAAATTTGCTTGCCCAAAAAGTTAAATACCTAGGGCATGTCGTTTCTCCTGAAGGAATAGCACCAGACGATGATAAAATAGCAGCCGTAAGAGATTTCCACGTCCTCAGTGTTAAGACCGTGAAATCATTTTTGGGTTTAGCTAACTATTACCGACGGTTTATCAAGGATTTTGCCAAAATTGCGTCACCCTTGAACCAACTACTGCGCAAAGACCACAAATTTCTCTGGACAGATGCTTGTGAACAGGCATTCAAAGCCTTAAAAGAGGCACTTATAAGTGCCCCCATCCCAGCATTTCCAGATTTCAAGGAAACCTTTCATTTGTACACAGATGCATCTAACAAAGGAGTAGGAGTAACCTTAGGACAGATTCAGAATGGTCGCAAAGTTGCTATCGCTTATGCTGGTCGCGATTTCAATTCAGCAGAGAAAAATTACAGTACCACCGAAAGAGAAGCCTTAGCTGTAATTTTTGGAATCAAGAAGTTCGAACCATATTTATATGGGAGAAAATTTATTTTACATACTGATCACCATTCTCTTAAATGGTTAATGTCCATTTCTGACCCCTCCGGAAGATTAGCTAGATGGTCACTTTTAGTTCAGCAGTATGACTTTGAAATTCGCAACCACCCAGGAGCAGCACATGCAAATGCCGACACTCTTTCTCGCCGACCGTACACCCTTCCTTCTCCGTCCATCCCCGCTTATGATGTTCCAGGCATCCAAACACCGCGCGTGTGCGACTTACAACGCCGCGACCCAGATCTTTCTGACCTTGTTCAATATCTAGAAACATGGAAACTCCCGGATCACAATGACACTGCACGTTCTCTTTTGTTGACTGTTGATGACTATTTTCTCAATGAAGATGGGTTGCTTTTCCACCTATGGAAGATCGCCGTCGCTCAACTACTTACCAACAGTTAGTGATCCCAACCGCCTTGCGCTATGAACTACTAGTTTGGGCTCATGACGATCCTACCGGTGGACACTTTGGTACTGTTAAGACCCATGAGAAACTTTGTACTCGCTACTATTGGCGAAAGATGTTTTCTGATGTTAGTCATTGGTGTCGCAGTTGTTGTGACTGCGCTATGAGGAAAAGTCCTCGCAATCGGCACAAGGCTCCCCTGTTACCGATCCCAGTTCAGGATGCTTTTGACCGCGTCGCTTGTGACATAATTGGTCCATTCCTGGTTTCTAAAGCAGGTAACCGATATGTTGTTGTGTTTTCTGAGTACTTGACAAAATGGGTAGAGTGTTTCCCTGTTCCGTCAATCGAAGCTTCTGTGATCGCGCGACTTCTTGTCGATGAAATTTTCTGCTGCCATGGTGCACCACGCACTCTTCTATCTGATCGAGGAAGCAATTTTCTCTCATCTTTGGTCTCTGAGGTTTGTAAATTGCTAAACACTAAAAAGGTAAACACAACTGCTTATCATCCGCAGACAGATGGTCTGGTTGAGCGTTTTAATAACACTTTAGCTGAAGCTATCTGGTCGTTTGTTAGTTCAAACCAACAGGACTGGGATGTTTATATCCCCGCAATCCAATTTGCTTATCGCGCTTCACTGAGCGTTACTACTGGCGACAGCCCCTTTTACTTGCTTTATGGGCGCGAACCTCGTTTGCCACCTGATGTAAGCTTGTTGCCAGCGACTCAACTTTCCGCTTTGGTCAAAAACATCGCGCACGCATTGTGAGCCAGATAGAAACTGCCCAGTCCATTGCACGTTCGAATATTGCTAGAGCTCAACAACTAATGAAATTGCAGTATGATAAGAATTCAGCGGATGCACCATTTGAGGTCGGCCAACGAGTATGGATTTATACGCCAAAGGTAAAAAGAGGCCTTAGTAAGAAACTGTTATCAAAGTGGAACGGTCCTTTTCGAATCTGCCATAAATTGTCTCCTGTGCATTATCAAGTTCGCACTTGTGACAACTGCTTAGTGGCCACGACTGTTCACACTAACAGATTAAAGCACTTTTATGACCCTGCTGATCGCCCTATTTTACCACCAACAGTAGACGATCCTGATGATCTTGTATTCGATGCTGCTGATCTTCCCGCTGATAGTTTTTCTACAGATGATTCTCCTCCCTCTAGCTCAAGTAATGCTGAACCCATACAAGATGCTAACGAGAATCCTAACGCTAGTCCCGTTGACTCTACAGATGTTTTCCAAGACCAAGATGTCTTGGCAGCCGAAAAGATTCTCCGATCCAGAGCAAGAAATGGCAAAGTTCAGTACCTCATCCGATGGGCAAATTACCCTGTTTCAGACGCGACTTGGGAACCGGCCGAGAATATTTTGGATCAACGCCTTCTGGATGAATTCCAAGGAAAGTCCACTTAGATTTACTTTGTTCCTTGTTGTTTTATTCTTACTATCAACTCAGCTAGTTCATACACAGGAAAGTTCAACTTTTGATTATGATCTTAACGGTCAACGAGTCACTTATTATCCTGAATCACTATTGCTTTCTCGTACTCCCAAGGCTATCGTTTTTTATCAGGATACCAAAGTACTTAACCTGTTTATTGATCTGTGCACGCCCGAAATTGGCCATGATTTTACCATTCACATCACTTGCGATAGCGATAAGTCTCATTTTCTAGGGCAGCTGTTAGAGCAATTGTGAACAGTGCAGAAATCCATGCAGCGAATCATGTTTTCACACGGTTATACTTCTTTAATTGAGTGTGATTCTTATATCAAGCGATATTACCAGCATTCTACAGGAATGACCTCTACTATGCCATGCCCCTACTTCTATAAAAACTCACTTCACGAATGTAAACTATGGGCCTTAAAAACATGTACTGGTATATCCCCTCACGAACGTCAGTGGTTACAAAATTCTCCGCGTGGTTCTCACCGGGAGCGGGATCTTCCCTGGGCTTGTGGAGCTGGATTATTAGGTTTGCCAAAATTGTTCTATACCAAAGTTTTAGGAGGATCCTGTGACCCTGGAGTTGATGTTTTC